TGTTAGGTGTATGCTAACAGAGTAGTCGTGGGAATGGGCACATTCCCAGCAGGCCCAAAATACGTGCAACATGCATGACTTCGTAAAAGTTTGATCCTATCTGCTACTGCTCTCTGATTATGTCTCCGATGGTGAATCCGCGACGGATCTCAAAACGTCAGGCGAATACAGTATTGTTCCAGCGACCCAGTCGTCTTCTTCTCAGTTTGATCATTACTCGCATTTCGGCGTGAACGCATTTGCGAGAACTTAGAAATAATAATGAACAACAGTAGGCATATTACGTATATAAAAGAACTATAAGAAGTACCAAGTGTTTATTAGGAAAAATAAAATTTTTCCGATAATGCTCAAGTTCCGGAGACGCAAAATATATCTATAAATTAGAACAATAAATTTAAATCTTTTTATAACTTGGAAACGGAATGTAACCAATTTCTTTAAATAAAAAGAATTTTTTTCTTAAGTCAAAATATTTTGTACATATAACCGTTAGTGGGTAACTACTTATTGAATATCGTCCAATATCCTGTGGCATAATTTTCATCGTTTTCAGTGTCTTATTGTGGTCACTCATAAAGTCTGCTTCTGTTTTACGTTTACATCAAAAACTTTAAAATAAGATAAACATAAGGAGAACCTACCGAAAAATTGAGTTTCTGGAAATTAATTCTTATGAAGATGGCCATTTGAATTATATTTAGAAATGCCTCAAAACAGCAAACCACATTGTCGAGAAAAAATAACTTTTGCAAGATAAGTAGGATACTGTTATTCCTAAGATTACCAAAGAAACGTTCAACAATAGGTTACCTCTTTAAAAATGCTTTAATTGGATATTCAGCTGACGAATTTCTCTGTATATTAACTTTTTCCAAGGTAATGTCACAACGAAATTGGAGACTTTTGACAATTCCTTTAATTTACCTGAAGAAAAGCGATTCCATTTGACTGGAAATGAAAGAACTTACTCTTCTCTTTACAATGGATTATTTTCCCCATAAGTGAATTAATTCGACGATCTGTTATAATCTTGCGAATGCAAAAAAGACTGGCCATATATGGCCATTTTTTGAAACAATTATTACACTCCTATCAGTTCCGTTTCTAAATAACGGACAGACCGAACGTATAGTTTACAAAAAATTATATTGCTACACAACTTACATTTAATAAGGCCTGATTTACAGTATCTTCACGGTGAAATATATATGGACACTGCTTATTCGCCATGCAATTCGCTATGCAATAAAACAAATTGTGACCAAAAATGATTTTTACTGCATTTTGTGCAAAATACCTTCACAGGTGAGCTCAACATAATTTTTTAAAACATAAACCGTTCATTCTTTCTGAACTTGGCCTCGCTTGCATTTGGAAATTTTCGGAAAAATTTTCCGGTTCTGGAGGGGATATGTTTTGCACTGTTTTACTTATTTTGTATATCTACCATATCACAATGCATAATAATAAAAAGTTTGCTTCGGTCGTGATTAATAGCATAGAAAATTCCTGCAATATGAGTCTACTCCTAATTTCGCCAAAATTAATGCCCATTATCCCTAATAAACTTAACTAAAAGGGTGATTTTCCTAACTTAAAGCCATTCGCAGGATTAAATCTACTCAGTGGATCAAAATAAAGTGACCAAATGTAGGCTTAACTACCAATTCAAATTTCGTCATGAAAGTTGCACGGTTTTTGGGCCATAAACAGTAGGTGTACTTCACTCTCTATTTTACTTTGCTTGTTCTGTGAAGTTTCTTTATTTATAGTGAGCTAAGTCATTGTTGTCTGAAATTGTTGAGGAGCTCGTGGAAAGGTTTTGATGCTTTGAAATGGTAATGCGGTCAGGGAATCACAAGTTATTAAATTTTATTTCCTAATTTCTACAGAATGTCAGCGTTGGTGCGTGCGAATGAGAATAGGGGAGTCAGTTAGCATACAATGAGCAAAATTAGACATGGACTACAAATCAAACTGATACAAATATATTGCTTTCTGGTGGCTACCTAAAAGGTTTCATTGCATCAGCGAAATACTGCAGTAATCTTGATTTGACTGATAAATAAAATATAAACTGCAAATGCGCAAAGCGTTTCTCCTCTGTTGTGCATCAGCAAACTGAAAACTTTACGTTGTTCCAAATTCGTTGTTGTAACTGCAGCTTTTCTTTGGGAAGTCAAAACATCGAACAAAGGGCAACCGTAGAAGGTTAGGCCTAAGTCTAAAAATAATAAGCGCATACTATCACATCACTCGCGTTGCTTGCACGCCGTCGGGCATTGTATTCGGGGGTGGTCCAGCTGGCCGACTTGGGCCGCATGCACAAACGTTGTGGTGCTGGATCAGACCTAGAAAATATACTCGGCGGACCTACCAGTCTACTGTACAAATTTAAGTTTTTATGTTTGACAAACTTTGCGCATCTATTTCACCTGCAGTTAACCCTAGAGATAGTTACCAACCTCCATTGCCGAATGACTGGCCCTAGTTTCCTTCTCTGAATTTACATCGTATGAATTGTACTATGCGTCAAACACTGCGGTCGTTTAAAGCAGTTTCACTTTAAGACTTCGCTGGATTCTCCTACAGTGTACGCGAATATTGGGAAAAGTGTACTGATAATATTTTTTATTCTCCACAAAATTTAATTGGAATATTTTCTGACGGGACTCAAACATTTCGCCGTAATACTTCACTCCAGTTCAGTTTATTTGATATTACTTTTGATGTGCACTTCTAAATTCCTATTTTGTTTCAAACCGATAAGAATGCAACTCAAGTATACGCGTGTAAATATCAAAAGACATACCACGTTAATTGTCCTTTAACTTGGTAGGCTACTATTTGGCAAAATGAAAAACGTTATATTTTGAACCAAAGCATATTTTCAATTACCACTGGAACGTTGAGGGTCCTACTGACGAGTTTGGCATCTTGCAACAGCACCGTATCTCTGCAGCTGTTATTTACTACACGTTTCTTTAGCTCTTCGGCTTACTAAAAATCCCATATTACATACTCATTCGACGCCGGCAGGAGAACAGACGTACGCCCTGGCGGGGGATGATAAAAACAAGAAATAAATAAATATTTCCGGTGATTGATCATGCCTACAACAGAAAATGAGCCAGTCGTTTTGATTTTTTGATAACACTTATTCAAAACTGCCTCCGTTTGCAATCATGCGCAAAAATGTTATTTTGGAGTCAGTTGGTAGATGTCTTCTTCAAATTTTATACTTGAAAATTGTAAACGCTTCGCTTTTAAGGACTTTTTATATTCATAAAATGTTTTAAGAACGTGAAACGTTCGCTAATAAATGATCGTGTTATTGCATCTAGTGTTATTGATAAGGTATGCAAGATGGTCTACATCCACTGCAATTTTTAGGAGAACTATGTGGCGTCTTTCCCATACCATAGAACAGTGCGGGCCTTTCCTTAGACGGAATGCGATAAGCGTGCACTTTGAATATCCGGGCTGCAAGCGTAAGTGGATGTCGTGCTCAAAATGATTTATGAATTTGAAAATTGTTTAAATTTAAAAAATGCCTTGTCTTCGAGTACAGATATGGAAGTATAGGTAACCTTCTAAAAAAGGAGTAAAAGTAATAATACTGTCATACTTCCATATAATTATTTAACTTGGTAAGGGCATTGCACGTCAACAGAGAACTACATACTACACAAGTACTCATTTTTCACCTTGTAGTTTTACCGGGTGGTAGGAAATAATATCTTTCCTCGGCTATGCATCATGAGTTAACTGAAATATCTAGAGGTTAGAATTTGTTCGCAAAAAATATTATAGAATCCTGTTTCACAGTTCATATGATAGCATGTCTACTTTATAGTAAAGTGCCAAGTTACCTTTAGATGCACACGAATATGCCATGCTCGTCAAATGTCAAGCATTGCTGCTAAAGGATAAGGCTGCATTGGTTGTCAAGGGCAAAATATGATCTTAGAACCTTAAGTGTACGTAGAATTAGTAAAAGTTTTTAGATCAGTCTTCTTATGGAATGGAATCTCATTTTAAGGATTATTAAGATACTTTAAATGATGTAACTTTCAGTTGGTTTCTTTAGAACAATGTGTCTGTAGATTGCACACAAGAAATAAATTATGCAGTATAATTTAATGACGTTTTCTTTAATTTGATCTCTGGGTAACACTAAATATTCTTTGTGCTAATATCGTGTTGCAAATTTATTTACTTGTTGCAGCTGCGATCATGACTGATCTAGCCAGCTTTGAGTTTGTCCCGCACAGTATTCCTCTAGGCGCGACGATCCGTAGCAGCAGACCTGGACACTCCAATCCATCCTCTTCGCCAGCGCCGGAGACCAAAGTTCCAAGAACTACTTCCATGTCCTGACGGATTGCGTCGAGCCAGGTGTTGAGCCAGGGCCAGGAGCTGCGCGGTGGTAGAGCGGTAGTATGCCCTGAGCATGGCGATTATTTTTGGTGGCACACCATCTATTGCCATTATCCGCCATAGGGATTCATGATGGACGGAAACGAACGCAGCGGCAAAGTCAACAAAGCAGATGACCGTTGGTTGTTGTTAACTATGTCGGGATTCAAGGATCCGTCTCAGTGTGAATATCCGACCCACACATCAACGCCCAACGTAAAATCCGGTTTGGTTGGGCTGCGTCCTAGAATCACACACGGACTGGAACCGCCTGAGAAGAACAAATGCGAAGATGTTCGCAGCGACTTCGCAGCCGCGGTAGTTCTCGAAACCAGTTTTATCTCCCTTCTGGTAGGCAAGCATAAGGATACCAGAACTCCCGTACTCAGGAACGGCCTCGTCTGTCCACGCTTGTCCAATCACCTCATAGAGCCAAAGCACCAGAGTGTCGACACAAGACCTGTAGACTTCAGCGGGTATACAGTCCTCTCCAGGTGCCTTAATGTTGTACAGCCTTTGATGGCATCAGCGATTCCTCCTTCAGGAGGCGGGGCGCATGATACTGGATAGGTGAGAAATGGGAGAGACTCTGCTGTAGATATGAGCAGGCAATGCTGGGCTCTGTATCGAAGTTAAGGAGGTGCTCGAAGAACTCATGCTAGCGCTCGAGCTTGATCGCGCTGTCAGCAACAAGGCTGCCATTCAAATCACGAACTGAGTCGCTCAGTGAAGACAGTTTAGCACTAACTTGGGGAATAAGTTGGTGGAGTTTCAAATATCGCGAAATTTCGAGGTCTGCTCAATAGGGGTCGTTAGTTCAGTCCAGTATTACTTCCGGTCTTCTCTAGCCGATTTTGCCGCTATCTGCCTTAGTCGGCGGAAAGAATTAGCATAACGGCTATTGGCTAGAGCTGTCTCAGCAGAAAACTGCAGGGTTCTTCCACTGATCCAATCACTACGACGCCGCTGAGTGTATCCAAGAATTATCTCGACTGTCCCATAGACAGACGTTTTTAGTGAGGACCATTGGTAACTCTCTTCTCCGTCAGTTCGGATCGTGAAAAAGGACTGGATTTCTCTGCTCAAGGCATCAGCAGTGTTGGGTTGCCCAATTTTGGCGACATCGAGACGTCTAGTGCGTGGTATTTCGGGCACTGATGAGAAGTGAGATTACAAGCGCGTACGAACGAGAACGTGGTCGGATCGATGCGCATCACCAGTCTCGGCACCAAGCAGCGACCTGCTATCACGAACCCAGCTGTGGAATCTTGAGCTAAATAAAATGTAGTCAATTTGGCTGGTTGTATGGCCGTCATTCGTGTTCCAGGTTGGCAGATGTTTGTTGCGTTGCTGGAAGCACGTGTTCGTAACAGTAGATTCCGATCGTCAAAGTTTAGCAATCTTCCACCATCTTTACATCGAGAACGAAACCTAAAGCTGCCGATAAGATGGCTGTTTCTGGAGTCACCAGGTCCGGTCCGGCCATTCCAGTCCCCGGCAAAAATCAGCAGATCGCGGCGAGGGAGCCTTTCAACTAAAGCTTGAACCTGCGAGAACAACAACTTATCACACTGGTCGGCAACGGAAGTTGGTGCATACACGGCGACGAAAGATGTTTTTGAATTGACCCTTCAGGGGCATGTAAGCCATCTGTTTATCGACTGGTTCACAGGAAACCAGTGCACGTTACGCTTCTCGCGAAAGGGCAATTGCCACACCATGTCTGCCAGAAGAGTCACGTGGGCCAGTGTGGTATTAATTGAAGTATCAGTTGGCTGCAGGGATCTTTATCTCCAAAGTCCCTGAGTCGCGATGTCGGACTTCGGATAGGCAGCAGACATCAACGTTGTACTGGTAAAGACTGCGTACAATCAAGTTTTGAGTATCAGGGGCCAGGAACGTTTGCATATTTCAGCATCCAATACCAAGGATCGGATTCCGATTGAGTAGTCCAGCTCGCATACTATTCACCCGCACCACTGGACCGGGGTTGCGGAGCGCGTTGGTTCCTGCGGACTTGTACTTGTTACGGCTGTGATTATGCCTGATATAGCCAGTCTCGATGATGTCACGGACGCTACCTCTCCATGCGTGACGATTAGCGGCAGCCGATCTGGAAAGCTCCACCCGGTCTCTTCTCCAGCGACGCAGACCGAAGATAGAAGGTCCAAGAACTGCTGTCTTAACGGACGGTGTCGAGCCAGGTCTTCAGTTGCCCTCCTCTTCGACGCCTCCAGGTGGAC